CAATGAGTTTTCATTCGCACGTCTCTTTGTTTGCATTCGCAGCGGTAGCGAACGTCGAAGGCGGCGGTGAATCGCGGCACGGACCGTCAGAGACGATGGGTGGTGGCAAAGTCGCGAAATTACTCGAGCCTCGTTACCAGCGGCAATAAAATTTCGCATCCGGGCAAATTACTCGCCGCTCTGTTCGTTGTAATTTACGCGTCAGATGGCAGAGACCGGATGATCAACCCCGGCGGGAGGGGAGAGGGGCAGAAAGATCGCTTTGAGCCAAATTGCGGAACTTTAATAAAACATGACCGTCCACGAGGACGTGGCGAAGGGGGTAATCACGAAAGACGAGAGGAGAGCGAACAATAAACGAAGCGATACGAAATGGAACCTCCTCCCAAGTGGTTCCGCGATCGAAACGTCATAAAGGACTCGTTGACAACTCGTTCGACCCACGAATTTTGTTCTCGTTTTCGTCTTGTCGTCCATCTCGCCGCCGCAACCTCGATGCAATCGGGAGAATAAAAAAAGTCACGAACCTCCGGTTCGACATTTAGGAGAGGGTCGCGTCGTCTCGGTCTGCCTGCTTGCCTGCCTGCCTGCCTGCGTCGAGCAATATGATACAAAAATGTCAGCAGTATCTGGATAATTACATAACTGGTCTCAGGGGTCGATAACAGGCGGGGGTGGACGGAACCACCCAGGCAGGGAATAATACAACGAGAAGTTGACCTCCTGCTGGTGCATGGAATGCTGGCGCAAGCGGAGGAAGAGGTCGCGCGACGGATAGAGCACAGGGTGATTTCCCAGCTGACCTGTAAAGCAACTCCCGAGCGGACTTGTGCCTCTCGCAAACCAGCGCTCTCGCTTCTTTCTTTTCGTCCCCTGTATTTCTCTGCACCCCGTTGTACCATTCCTTCACCCCCGATAGTCTGTTCCCGTCTTTGTTACTTTTGCATGCGCACTTTCGCAGCCCCTTGTTCCCTTCGTTGCGCGTCGTCGTTCATCTCGACGAGATGAGAAACGTAAAACGGGAGCCGAGCGTCGAGCGAGAAAAAGCGATCGAACGCTCGACGACGTTTACGGACGCGTAAACCGGGAGCGGATGGAAAGATTTTCGTGTAATAACTTACCGATGTGTACATTGTTGACAGGCGAAACAGTCCAAATGATAGACGTTCGATCTGGCCTTCATAACCATCTCGAACGGTGGTATCTGTTTGTTGCATGCCGCGCAGTGCCCCGGATTGCCGAACAGCCTGAGGTAATCCCTCTTGCAGAGGATAAGATTGGCCCTGGTGAACAGACTAGAACCAACCTCTCCTAACCTACAGTCGCAGCATCCGCACTTCAGACAGTCCTCGTGCCAGAATAGATCCATGGCCTTGAGGAGATACCTGAAGAACCGACCATAGTTTTCCTTTTTACCGACCAGTAACCTATCGTGCTCTAGAGTGATCTTTCACTGTGGTTTCCGAAAGAGGCTTGGCCTCTTTACTGATAATCACACAATTTCTTTAAATCTTTTTCTTTTTTTCTCTCTTTTTTTTTTAAATAATTGCGATTCTTTACTCTGTCATACACTTTCGGGTTTTATTTGTTACATTTTTTTTCGACGTTTTCTTTTTTTTTTTATATGTATATTGATAGAATAGTAGTTGAAAACAATCGGCATTTTACCTTTCCGTGATCGCTTTCCCGCATCCAGCGCACTCGTGCTGCGTCGCGCCATTTTTACTCGGCTCCGACTTGCTCACGTCCATCGTCATCGTGATTTCGGCTAGAACGCCGTCTGAAACACGAAACAAGAACGTTAAATCGATTCGCGATGTCGTGAATCGTGTCTCTCCAGCATTGTGCGTTCGTAACTAGTCCCGCGGTGTTCGACCGATCAAGGTGGCTAAAAGTCGAACCAAGATTTATAGAATTTTTCATACAGTTCTCGATATAATTACCTCGAAATTCTCTTCGAGTGCGTTTCTCAAGAACTCGTTCCATTACGAATATTTCGTTTCTTATAAAAAACGTGTTATCTCGTAAATATTTGCAAAAATTTTTATATTGTTCCAAAGTTAAGGACCTCCACCATACAGTGGTTACAAAATTATAATCGGGAATCGTAAACAAAATCCGTCCATTTACATGACCTTTTTGGCCAATTAGATCGGCCGAGTACTACGCATCGTCTACAAGCGTCTGCTAAATAGTGGTAACGAAATAATCGATTCACGTTTGTTGAACCGGTCGTCCAACGTCGCGCGTCAAGTCTCTCATGTTCGCGATTTTCGATGGATCGATTCCGCTGTTGAACTTTAAAAAAATCCCCCTTTTACTAGTGTATAATATATATAACAAGAACAACTGGAAACATTGATCTCACGCGTCTTGAAAAATTTGTGAATGATCCAGATTTCGATCGACAAAAAGCGTTGATATGGGCGCGAGAGGTAGTTGGGCCGTAGACGAGCCGGTGCAGCATTCGGTGGCCGCGTTTCAAAGATCCACGGAGAAGGGTGGATCGATCGTTCAAACCGATTTGGCCCGGCGAGGGTGAAAAGCAGCGCGAATAGGGGCGAGAGGGGGAAAGAGAAACACGGACAACCACATTCGCAGGAACGAACGAACGAACGAACGAACGCGTTCTAAAGGCGATCCGAGGGAAGGAGGACGGCCAGCTAAAATGGTGAGTGGCTGCACGGCGAGGCGCGGGGGCTTAATTAATTAGCCGGATACTTTGAGTAACAATCCATTATTACATACAAACATCCTCGGCCCCGGGGCCGAGCTGTAGCTTTATGCTGCTAATTGGCCTTCTCAAAGCTTGGAGACCCGGGCACGAGTTATAAACGCCACTCCTCTAACTCGCCAGCACCCCGACTCCATCCCT